TATCTGATTAAAAATACTTATAACTTTTAATTCAGTTTATTAGATAAATCACGTAGATTACTATAAAGAATTAATGTCACAATTATTAAATTATTAAAAAATTTAATTTTGACCAATAATATCAAAATTATTACCAATTATTACTAATTATTCCTACAAATATTTAATAAATAATTTAAATAAGTTTATATGGTTAACGGTAGTAATTGTTCTTTGCACTTAGCTGACATTCGAATTATTAACGAAGAATAAACATAATATTTTTATTTCATCATAGTATCATACAATCATAGTATAATTAAATATTTATCTTGACTTCTTGTTTTTTTAAATAATATACAGCCACTAGTAAGTAATATTTCGCCATAAATTTACCAAAAAATAATATTTTATCATATGAACAAGACAATATAATGGAATATTATATTAACACTTGTTTTTATATAAATATATATGTTTATAGTTATATTGAAGAATGTCATTTCTTTATTTATATTTATAATTTTAAATTTTTGCAGAATTATTAATAAAAACAAAATAAATTATAATTTAACATTTATATAATATTAAATATATAGATAATACTACTAAAAGTATTTTAATGAATGTGACCTAATTAGTTCCTTTTAAATTATCGATAATACGTTTTCTTATCTGGTAATCAATGGTTAACAAAAAATTTAAAAAAAATATTGTATTTCTAACTTTGCCGAAAATAATATACACAAGTATGATATTTTTGATATGACTCAATGTACTCACTTTTTATTCAGTAACTGTGTTTGATTTTGATTGAAGTTATACATACATAGTTCATATTATGTATTTTTTAAGACTAGGTATATAAACCTCGAAGACATTTATGGCAATTTAAAACTCAGTCCTGGTTTTAATATACCTTATAGGAAGCTTAGAAATAAATAGTGGAATGATCTTCAACTGGATTGAATTAAATATTCCTGCAGCTTGTGTAAGCATATGTATATTCTACCGTTAATAAATGTCAACGGTTGAGTACATTGGAAAATACGAATTCGCATGTTGTTATTTATTCAAGGCGATGTACAAAATATTTGAGAATACAAAAAAAAAAAAATCATTAAAATGGCTGTTTATCGATGTATGTTTTTCATCTCTGCTTAAACTTATAAACATCTTTATATTTGTAGAACAACGAAAAATAACATTTTTATTATTTTAATTTCAGATATTAATAGTTTATTTTAAATAATAAATAATATTTTATGTGATTTATATTTTGTTAAAAGTGTTTGTTTGAATGGAAATAATTTATAACAGTGATGTTTGTAAAAAAAAATACTGAACCAAGTATTACATAATATTATTCCGATACGTGAATGATAATTTATTTATATAATATATATTATACTAATTAATAATTTTGGATAATGAATCTTCATTATTTTTAAAAACACAAATTTTCTTAAAAAGTGTAAGAAATAAGTTACTTTAATATAATCAACAAATTTTAACATTTTGCCATACTATTGTCTCTGTTAATGAAATAAGATTTTAAGAAAAGTTTTAATATGCATACATTATTAAATAGTATTAATTTCATAATATTACGATCAATAAAAGTGTGTTAGAGTTAATGATAATATAAATATTATTAGATAAAATTACTTAGTTCGAAAAATTTATTTTTATTAGTGATGCTTGGACGTATTATGTACTTTAAATTAGTTGAATAATATCACCATAAATCATAATATTATACCTTTTTTGGAAAATACATAATATAGTTTATTTTCACACATTGGAATAGATTTGCAGTAAATATAAAAATAATAATCGTTATAAATTTTAATATTATTTCACTATAGAACTATAAATCAACTATAAGTTTTATTATTATAATTTATAACTAATCAATGACGTAATAAATAATACAATTATATTTTTTAAATAAACCATGATATAATTATTATAATTTAGTTTTTTTTTTCTATTAGAAATAAATTTCTGTAGCAATGGCTATTGGCTGAAATTTGAAATTTTTTTTTTTTACATACTATTAATTATTATGGTACCTAATAAATTTATAAATAAATAATAACTATTATTATCATTATAAGTGAAAAATGTTAATTTTATGTTTGTTACTAACTTTTAATAAGGGTAAATTAAGAAAGATAATAAAATAATATAAATTAAAAGGGAGATAATATAAAAAGTTTAAGACCTTTTAGTGAAAAGTTTATCCATGTAGACGTGAGTTTCTTTCCAATTTGCTATTAGGAGATTTTAGATAGGATTAAGAATTAATTTTAAATTCTGAGCAGAGCTATGGATGTATTGATTTTACAATGATTTGTATTTTTTTGCAATAAAAATAATTCTTTTATTTTCAAAAATGTGAATGTTTTTTGGTAAAAAAAAATTGGTATTTTTAAAAATCGAAAGTAAAAAATTCTTAAAATCAAATTTAATAATGGAGATAAAACAAAAAAAAAAAAAAAATGAGGAATTGTGGAGATTTTTACACAAATCCAATTTGTAAAAATATCGATTTTGTTTTTTTTTAAATAACTCAAAAATGAATAGATATTTAAAATGTTCTGCAAATTATTACAAGTATATCATTATTTTTAATTACAGTACAATTTTCCATAACAGTAGATACTTGAAATTTTCATGAAATGCTTTTATTATCTTTTTCATTTTACGATAAAAAAAAAAATGTCAGTTATTTTTTAACTATTTTTAGGCAAGCTAAACTTGTTTAATTGTCAACCATATAGTTAAAATTTAAGGACTTTACAAATAAATGTCTTACATATTTAACTTTTTACAGTATTAAATAAACATGGTAAAAAATAATGAAAATTAAAAAAAGATTATTTATTTTATTGATCACTTTTCGTTTTAAAAATTATACATATATCTGATAATTTTTATATTATTTATAATATCGTATTTTATCCAAACTAAATTACCTTTATCATGTGATAAAATAAGCTAATATACTTTTTTTAGATTGAAATATTCAATATAATTTATAATTATCATTTTGAAAAAAAAAACAAACACGAGTGTTTTCGTCATCTATTTTTTTCTAGTTTGTGAACAACAATAACACGTAACACCTGTATTATTTATAATATTACAAGATAAAAATAAACCAATTTAATTTTAGAAGTATTTTTTACACTTTGATAATTTTTTGTACAATCTATGATAGGTATGACATTATATTATATTATATGCTCAATGAATAATACATATAAATATTTATTATTAAAATAGGTACCTAATCACTTTAATCATGTTGGAGTAGTAAGTATAGTTACTATTAATGCAACATTGAACATTTAATAAAAAATAAAAAAAAAACATTATTTTAAATAATAAGCGCTTTGAATAAGAAAACTATTTTACAATTGAGTTGAATGATGTATAAGAGATGTTAATAATTTTTAATTTGTAGAAGATTGTTATCGAAAATAATAATAAATAGTGTTATTCAATATTTTCAGTATTGAAATTTTTCAACTTTTTTTTTGTTGATAGAATACAAGAACGGATTTGCTTTTTTAATTCCTAAATCTTATGAATAGTTGTGTTTTATTGTTGTAAAAACTACACAATAATAAAATATACCAAAATATGAAATTCATAATATAAATTTACAATGTAGTAGACAAGTTACACATTATTTTACAATACAGACTTACATAATATTTCATATTTATATCTGTACTTGTTTTCGTTTTTCAATTGCATATTATGTAAAGTTTCGAATATTTTTCACCAATGAATGTTTTACAACAATAAAAATTGTTGTCTGTAAAACCAATATAGTTATTTTTAGCTATACAAGTATTCATAAAGACTAACATATTTCATGAATTTCTTGAAATTGAAAAAATTATTTACATAAACAAATCGCATTACATCGTCAGTATAAATTTTAGTAACCTCATCTTGCCTATAATCATTTATGATATTCAACTGTCATAACAGAAAAAATAATTATAATATTGTAAAATATTTTTCTATTTTATCGCAGAACCAATTTATTTTTTTTGCGTATTTAACTGTATATATATTTACGTTTTTAATATTTTCATTGAAAAAAAAAAAACAAATAATTCAGTTTTTACTTTATATTAGGTTTTGATTGTACCTATAAAATTGTTTACTGAGTTACTAGTACAATTAACAAATGTATTAACTTTTAATTCAATAACAAATTGTGATATCATACGAACATGGTTAATGAGTCCAAACATTTTAAATAGGTACTTCATTGTATTTATAAAATAATAATTTATTTATTTGATTATATTAGTTTTCAGTCCACGAAATAAATATTTTTTTTTTTTTTTTTACTGATTTATAAAAAAAATAATTAAAACTATCTTGTTTATATAAATACCCAATTACATAAAAAACTTTAACGTTTATAAAACTCAAATATTAATAATTAATATTTAATATTTTAAAAAATATAGCTTTAGAATATTAAGTATATTAGCTTTATTTCTTCACAATAAATTATGTGCAACCAGAAAACCACCTTCAATGATGAGAAATAAATCTATTTTCCCTGATTCTAATTGTAACGATAAAAAAATAAATAAATAATACATTAATCGTTTTGTTCAGAATATAAAAAAAATAAAATATTAACTAATTCGCATCCGGTATCTATATTCTAAGTATTTTATGAATATTTAAAATGATTAGAATGTAATTACAGTGATACTAGTTGTATAATATTATACCTAAACTTACATGTTTGAGTATGTGTTTATAAAAACAAAGTTAAATTAAATTTAAATTAAAATAGTTACATAATTGTATACATTTCTTTAAAATACTGATTATTGTATTTCGTTGATTACTAATTTTTGAACTATGATATATATATAGATTTTAAATTGTATTTATTGAGATATTATATTTTTTAAATATAAATGAAATCTCTTATTGTATATTTTAAATTATTTTTTAGTAATTTTGCGGCGAATTACCCCTCTTTAGTGATTCGTGATGTAAACTTTATTCATTGTTCTTTTGACGTTTCCTTCTATATCAAAATTATTTCTGTATTAATCTGAAAAATATGCAAAAATTATATATGAGTTATATTTTTAATTTTTATTGAAATCTTAAATATTTACGTAGTAGAAATAGTCATTATAAATTATCGTGAATTATACACCGTTTATAAAATTAATTATACTTAGAATTTTTTAAGTCATTTATAAGATTATTTTGACGCGCAAATACTTGTTGATCGGTTAATTGAAGTGAGATTAGAGGTAGATAAATTATATTATGTGATATTTTGCTGCTAGTTGATAAATATTTTCTATATTTTAGGTCTCTTGAGAATCATTATACATTTTACCAAAGGCAAAAGCAATTAGTTGGAAAGAATTTTGAGTACAAATATAGCTTTGAGATGGTTTGTTAGTCCCCGAAGTGTACACTATCTTTTCAAATGAACCTTAACAGAGATTTATATAACATTAGATTTGTGTGAATCAAAAGTTTGAATTTTAAATTGGTGCGTATTGTATAGAGCCTAGTATTAAATATCTATTTTATCTTATGTCATTACTGGCCAAAATACTTAAGAGTTAATAGTGTGTAAAAATGGGGTGAGACTGTTTTCGACTAAAAAGTACCTTTTCCTTTTCGGCCGATTCCCTTTTCGACCAAAATCGTGCTCTTTTCTTTTCGGCCAAAACAAAATTTCATAAAACGTATGTAAAAAATTAAAATAATTGGTATATATTTTTTTATAAAATTAGGGTAATCGTATAATTATATAATTTTGAAAGTTATTAAAATTATAAGATACATACTATTTTGTAAAATAAAATGTGGAAAATTATTTAAAATATAAGAATATCTATATATTAACATTATTTTTATGTCAATATGTCACAAACTTACTTAATATGTGGTTTAAATTGTATTTTTTTATATAATATTATACATATTACATTTGTGACATATTAACATAAAAATAATGTTAATAATATAATATAATTTTTATTATATTTTAAAAATTTGTTTATTTTTTATTTTACAATATTTTATGCAATTTATACTTTTAATCATTTTCAAAATTATATATTTATACAATTACCGTAAATTTACGAAAATTTAAAATAATAAATTTTATTTTTTTATATACATTACATCAAATTTTGTTTTGGCCGAAAAGGGAAGAGTACGGATTTTGGTCGAAAAGGGACTCGACCTATTTTAAATTTGGTCGAAAAGAGAATCAGTCGAAAAGAAAAGGGTATGTTTTTGGTCGAGAACGGCCTGCCCATAAATAAAGTTCAATAATTTAGTTTGCATGTTTATATTTACATTAATGGCCACACATATGGGGAGATAAAACAAGATAATAAAAAAAAATTACCTTACTTTAAATAATCATAGTTTATAGTTAAATGTATTTCATTTATATCTCATTTAGAATTTATCTTAAGGTATAATTTTGTCTACTCAAAAAAAAAAAAAATACATGATTCATTTAAATGTATTTAAATTATTAGAAAAAAGTTTCAAAATTATTATTGTTTTTATAATTTTTTTTTTTTTTTAATTAATAATTTTTATTTAGCTTTGGGGTTATAAATTGTTTAGGTACTACTATAGTATTAAAATAAATAATCCTTATATTATAAATGCGTATATATAAATAATAATTATATATATTTATTTATTTTTTAAACGTATCTATAAGTGTATAAATTTATAGGAAAATACTGATTTGTTTGTAAAAGTTATTTAATTCAATTGTTAGGTGTAGATTATAAACTAAGTTTTTATAACATATTTTATCTAATTTGATACACTTTTCAGTTAAGTCGTATTTTCACAATGTTCATGTGTTATATTATGTTGTAAAAAATGAAATTTATATATATATATATATTATTTTTAATTTTTATTACATTGGAAGATTTTAAATTCAGATATTTTACTCCATTAAAAAATAATTTTTTCTGCACATCTTCATAAGAAAAAAAAATATGTTTGATTAACACATTATTTAAAATGTTACTAGAAATAGATTTTGATGTAGAATTGACAACTGATATTATTATTTTATCTTTATTTTTTTTTTTCTGTAGTCAGTTTATTTATTATTCACATCTTGATGCCATTATTTCGTAATGGTTTTTGATGAGAATTCAAGTTGAAATATCGTAATTTTTTTAATTGTTAGTTAAAGATTTTTTAATTACAATCTCATGACACTTTATTGCTAGTTGATTCATTATACATTATTTAGTTAAACAGCTATTGTTTAATAAGATTGTATGATAATTTATAACAAAAAATGAGTTATTAAAATAACAATAATTATGTTAAGTTATTTAATTTAAATGGTTCCTACTTCCTTTTAAAATTAAAAAAAAATATCAATCCAAATTACACTTAAGTTTAGATGAGTTAAAAATGAATATATAGAAATAAAATTGTTCATAGAAAAAAGTGAATATTATAAACTCATAAATCACTGTAAATGTTATGAATTTTTATCAGTAAATAATATTCAATATAAAATTATGTATTACAAATTGTGTAATTAAGATTACATAGGTATCATGTTTTATTTCTTTAAAAATAAACAGTGTTTTGAAAGTTTTAAAATTCAAGTTATGAGCTTCTTAAAAGCACATAAACTAAATGTTTGAATTTACATTGGTAACAAAATAATGAATTCAAATATCTGATTAAAAATATTAAAATACGGATAGCTTAAAATATGTTTAATAAATTAAATTTAATTTAATACATTTTAATACTTAAATTAATAAATATTTTTTAGTACAACATAATTTTTACCTAAATAATTTTTACATTTGAAAAATCCATAGAAATCACTGTGATGTACTGTGTATGTGTTTAGTTTGCATAATTTCATTGAGTAGGTCACTGAAAAATATGGGGGCAATTGGTATTTGATTATTAATCATTATATACAATATAATGATTTTAAGCTGAAAATATATGCCGAACTCTTAGTCTTTGATTGATTATAACTATTGTTAATTTATTTTTCTACTATTAAAGCTGTGAAAAGAACTATAATTTTGATAAAAATATTAAATATAATTTAACTATATAAATTTATTAAAATATTATAATATAGCTACTTTTATCATCAGTATTATTGCTCGCAAATTGCTGTTTTTATTGTGGCTTAATAATTTCATAAACAAATATTCACAATTTATTTTTACGTATTCGTGCAATTTTAAATTAAAGTCTGTTATAACCTAAAATGTTTTAATTATAAAATAAAAATTAATAATATCATACATTTAATTTTTTTTTTATATATTTTTTTCTTTTAATAGAAAATTCAATTGTATTTTAAAATAACAAAAACAAATGAATATAAATATATATTTTTTTTTAATAATCATGTTAAAGTTTTTTTTTTAATTTTAAATTAAAATTAAATGCATTAAATTTGACCAAAAATATATAACTACAAAAAAAAAAAAAAAAAAACAAAAAATTAATAATGAGTAAGTAGTTTAATTAAATATTAAATATAAATTAAAATATTTAACATAATATCAAATAAATATTTAAATAATTGATAAACCATTTTAAATCAATATATCTATATTTTTAAAGTAATAACAGCTCTTATATCATTAAATTATTTAAATAAGCAATAATATCTTGCAAATTTACTTATAATATTTAAACTTTTATTTTATAGGTATAATTGATGTTCTTTATTGACGATCATACTATTTTATTTTAAATTTATTTTCAATCTTATAATCTAAATATTTTTAATATTTAATATTCAATTCAAACATTACTTTTATTACAATGTCGTGCATGCAATGTAAAATATTATATAAAAATTTTTAATGAATTTAAGTATCAACATGAATTCATTAACATTTTATTAATAAAATCGGTTTTATAAATAAAGCATATATTTTTTTAACTTTCTATAAATTTAGTTTAAATTCATATTTACTTACGCCAGATATATTTCAAACATTTTAAAATTGTATATTAATTAATCTTTTGATTCCGTATTAAATACACGAATAAAAATTATTTCAACGAGTAAACACCTTCGTAATTTCAAACGATTGAACGGAACGAGAGAAGCGATCGTGAATATAAGCGCTTTGGACATTTTGGTTAACCGCTTGGCGACACCGGACTGACAACTTTAAACGTGTGCTATCGTATTGTGTTGCCTTGCAACAACCCCGCGCAAGTCCTGAACCCATTTTAGGGCCTTGTACAAACAGATGTACTCGCAATAGAATGAAAACGGTAATACATACTTTGAACAGTTGGTGCGTGCGCTCGTATGTGTGTGTCTGTTGATAAAGTATTCTCTTTATTTATTTATTAATTTTTTTTTTTTTTATTTATTTACGTAACATAAAAAAAAACATTACATATGTATTGTAAAATACATTTTATTAACCGAATAAAATGTATGTAATTAGAGTTCAATGTAATTCTAATTAAGTTAATTGTTACAACTAAATAATACGAATACATAAATTGTTTTAAACATTTTTGGAAGTCATTAGAATACTTAAAACTTAACTATATAGATTATAGCGATTGTTTAATACACCAGCATTATGTTATTATTATTGGACCAAATTATTTTGATTGTTAAAATCAAATTTATAAATCTATAAAATATATTATATAAGATATCTTATAGAGTTAATTTATAATACTGAAAAATGTTGGTTAATATGGTTAATATTAATGCTATATTACATGTCCCAGTTGTATACGACTATTTGACATGAAATCCGTTTGCAAAAATATAATACATAGTATCTACATTATATGTCCAGTTATACGAAGTATTTATATTATATTTAATTCATTTGAGTAAAAAGAGTATAACAAAACATTTTTGTATTTTCAAATATATAAATCTTTAATGACACGTTATATTTTAAATTTGCAGCACACTCAATTTTTATTTTCTTAGGTACTTCACATTTTTCACGTTTTTGTAGTTTAATAAAATAATGATTGTATTTATTTTATATATATATACATATATATATATATATATGTATATATGATAAATCAATACAATATTCAGAATAAAAATAATTTACTGATTTCAAAATAAATAATTTCTGATAATATGTATGATAGTTTATATAATAATATTCTTGTGCGAGTATACTTCAGATGCGAAGTTATATAAATTTATGCGTACAGTAAAGGTTTAATAATTAATATTTATTATTTAAACTTTAAATAATAAGATAAATTTTATAAATACAGATTCCAAGCATGCTTATCAAAAATTGATAATAAACTTACTTTAGAAAAGGAGGAGAGGTTAGTTTATAATTTATTTTTAAAAAAATATACTAACATGTCGACATTATAAGTTTAAAGTTTCTAAAGTTTCTTGACATAAAACTTATATTAAGTATATTAATATTCGTCATTCAATAATTTAATAATAAATGATAGTCAATTATTATATTCTTAAATTTGATAAAATTTAATGTAATTAGAGTATTGTTTTATTCACCGCACTTAAAATGACCAAATATATTTTTAAAAGCAAAACAGTCATTTTCGTTGAGCATGGGTCGTTGAGTATAAATGAAAACGGACAGCACACGACAATCAATGCTTTAACATATTGTACTCCGTTATATATCTATTACTAAATGACAGTAAAAATGTAACGTTGTCATTACAATAGCTCATTATAAGTCATTGCATAGATGTTTACGACCAATTAATAGCTTTCAATAGAATTACAGTGTGAAGTAAATACTTACTGTATAATATTGTTTATTAATTACAAAAACGAGTGGGGAGATAAATATAATATGTAGTTTTAGTAATCGTGTAATAACAAATTTTTCATAAAATTTAATAAAATATACATATATAAAGTATCTTTTCTCCGATGTTTATAAGCTTCAAAATAATATTTTAATATTGTACGCATAATTTAATAAATATTATAGTATAGATACATTTTATCATATTATGACATCATATTTTATGTATGTCATAATACTATACTTTTAAAATAAAATATAAATTATATTATTATTGAATAAATATTTTTTATACACTTCATGTAATAAATATTCATAAAAACAAAAATGTATGCATATCTATGGAGTAATTGTCTTACTAACATACATTATAATTTGAAGAGGTCAAGTATTGATTCATCTATTCAATATTGTTACTATAATAAGTATAGTAATAATTTTCTGGCACAGTCATTGAAATCTCAAAATTTAGTTTTTCAAGAAAATTTTAGAAAAAGTGAAGATATACAAAACTATCTATCAAGTTTGTATTTGGTCTTTTAAGAACTCTAATAATATTTCTGATTGAGAAATAAAAAATTGCGATTCTTTCATTTTTTTAAACTTGATTTAAATTTAAAAATAAAGAATTTTACATTAAATATTTGAAAAAAATTTTTAATTACTCAATTAAGTATCTATGTAAAATATATTAATTAATTTAAATCTGTCTAATGCAAAAAATATATTTAGCCATATGTATATCAAACGATTTCATTTAAAACTATATGCAACATCATAGAATATGAAACAATTAAGATAAATGTATAAATGTTATCATATTTAAAATATATTAATATACCTATTATTAAAAACTTATGATAGGTATTTTATTTATTCATATATTTATATATTTTCAGTTAAAAAAGTATATTACATATTATTATTTATTATTAATAAGACGATTAACAAATGCATATAAAAATATAATAATTACAAAAATGCAAAAGATCAAGTATTGTATTTTATAATTTTTCATTTTTTATTCCGGTCTAAATCACGTAATAAATATAGCTAGTTCCTTATAAATTGCAAAATGGTTAACATAAAATAGTTCACAAATATCAGAAAATATGTTACATGATTTAGTAGCTTAGTAAGATGTCTTTTACCATATTTTACACAGCCGAATTATTTAGATGAACTATAAGATTAAATATTTAAACATTAAAAATGTATTATTGTTTTTGCTGTTCTTCAGTTTTTATTTTCATGTATAGTTTGAATGTTATATCAAAAATGTTGTTATTGATATATTTTTTTAGTTAAACAAATTATAATATATTAGTTAATTGTCTTACCGAGTTTCCTATTCTCTAAATAAATTTCTGATAACATTTTGGAAACTAGAGTTATATATATATATGTACTATAATTGATTTAGCATATATATACTCTGAATAATTATATTTTAGACAATTTATTATTATTTATTTTTCTTCAATTATCAGTGATTCAGATTGAATTTTAATGAAGATGTGAAAAATTATATCCATAAATACTTACCTAATTCAAAGTTTATCATACCTTTTGGCTTTTATGAATATTGGTGATAAGAAAATTTTTTTCTTTTATGTTTGTGTGTGTAATGAATAACACTCAAAGTTAATGTAGTATAGAAATAACGATAGCGCCTTCGTATTTGTTGGTTGTCCATACAGTACTGTTATAACAAAAAAATATTGATTTTGTATTCCTTCATGTTTTTGGAGTCAGTTTCATAATAATTCATTACATAATTTATGCACACGCATAAACATCAAATTACGTGTTTAAATGATACAATAACAGCGACCTCAAAAACATAAAGGATTAAATATTATGAAATTAATATTTTGTAGTCAAAGCAGTACCTTACGGACAACCAATAAATGCACATGTGCTATTTATTGTTATGTCGGTATTATGTTTATTTTAAATGAAGTTCATCATACACACATATAAAAGAAAAAAAGATTTTCCACAAAATTTTTATCCGAGTATGTCATTATGTAATTTTCGCATCATATATAATACGTGAAAATAGGTATTTATAGATCCTTTTAATATATATAATGTATTTATTTGGGAGAAGGGGTATTATGCGAAAATACATCTTCGTTAAAATCAAATTATACGATACTACTGAAAACATTTTAACTATTTAAGCGCTAGTAAATTACTTATCCAATTTACATCAATGGAATTCATTTAAATAGCTGATATTTTTAAATAACACAAAAATAATTTTAAGTCATATGAAAATGTAATCAAATTTGTACACATCAAGTGCTATATAAGATTGTGTAAATCATAAATAGATACTATAAATAAAACAATAATAATGAAAAATAAACTAGTTGTAAAATAAAAATATAAATATTTCAGCTGTTTAAAAATTTGTAACTTAGTTTGATAAATTTCCTTGTCTCAAGTTATACTGTTCCAAACTTTTTTTTTTTTTTTACTATCCAATTATCTTAGAATTATCGGGTAGTTTTTATGATATGTCGTTTTTTGAATGATTGAAACTTGATATATAGAAATCATTCAATATATTGTCTTGAAATGTTTTAAGCTAACTAATTGAATACCTAACAAAATATTATATTAATCAATAATATTAATTTAAAAAAACAAAACAAATATTTAAAAAACATTAATCTACGTGAAAAACTATATTATGATAAATGTTTATGAATCCAAAGAATTGCTGTTAAAACAATCCGTAAATAATATAAAAAACAAAAATTTTTCCAAAGTGTATTATCTCTCTTTATTATTTAATAGACGTAAATTAAATTTATGTTGCAAATAAAAACAATAAAATTCTGTAATATAAAACTTGACTAATTTTATTTTCAAAATGTATTGTTATGGATAAATTCAATATAATTGTATAGTGTTTAATTAATAATAGTGTAATATTATATCGTTAAATAAAAATTATTAGTATTATAATAAAAACACTATTTCAGTGTTATAAAAAGATAAATAATAATTTATCTCGGTAAAGAAATAGATAATTCATTAAAAATTCATATAGATACGATTAAAATATAGATAAATTTAATGTTTAATTTATATTATTATTATGAATATTATTTATTATTAATGCAATTAATAAAAAAAATAATGAAAGTGCGAATATTCAATTGTATGGGAACTTAAGATTAATATTTCAACCTTAGAAATAAGCAAAAACATAGTTCTGTTTTTATAGAAAACTTGATCGTTATGATGTCTTCCAATAGATATCATCTTAATAAACGTTTACATTTCATAATGGTTATATATCATGGTACAATTGTACTCTATAAACTTCATAAGTACTTCTCATATAA